TAAGAGTGATATGCTCACCCCAGAAAGCATGTATGAAAACAAACCATTCAAGTTCAGGAAAAAAATTTTAAAACAATTTCCATTTATTTTTTTGTAATCTCAAACATTTTCATTTCCATTTTTTTGTGTATGTTTTGTACTCTACATGCTACTTTAGTATGTTTTATACATGTGTTTAATTTATAAATGCATTTTAAAAGGTACATATTCAAACATCTTATGTTAAAGATACAAATTATAAGTTTGGAGGCCCCTAGTATAGCTCTTTGTCAGGTACTGTGCTAAGCATGATGGTAATTCACATCCCCTGAGTTGTATACTGTGGTCCCCATTTTACAGATGAAGAAACCAGCACAGAGAGGGAGGGCAATCTTCCAATCACATACAGCTGGTAAACAGTGGGACTAAGGCCCACACTCAGATTTGTGTAGCTTAACATCTGCCACATGCTCTCTTATTCTTCTGTCCTAGCACACAGGGTTGTTTTTTCAGACACAGTACAGGTTTATGGAATAAATAAATAAACAGAATGGACGAATCAATCACACTAAGTACCTATGAAAGCTTTGTTCTTAAGAAAAAATTGGGAAAATGAAAATAAAATGTCATTTTTTCATTGTAAAAGCCTGTATTGGCAATGACGAGCCAAATAACATAGCTATGTGGCACATTAGGACTATTTAGTTCCGTGTCTTTACAGAAAAACTAAAGTAAAGGATAGCAAGTCACTTGTTCACTGTTATATCTGAAGCTAAGAGACTGGTATCCTCATTTTCACATCTGATTACCGAACTACTTTTTTTAAATAGAAATATTATTTGCAAACCATAAAATTCACCCTTTTAAAGTGTACAATTCAGGAGTTCTTAGTATATGATCAAGATTCTATAACCATAAGCATGACTTAATTTCAGAACATTTTCATTACCCCAAAAAGAAAGCATATACCCATTAGCAATCACTTCCCACTTTCCTCTCCCCCAGCTCCTGGCATCCACTAATTTACTTTCTCTCTCTATGTATTTGCCTTTCCTGGACATTTCATATAAATGAAATCACATAATATGTGGTCTTTTGTGTCTGACTTCCTTAGTTAGCATAATGTTTTAAAGGGTCATGTAAGTTGTAGCAGGCAGGCATTAGTCCTTTAATATCCTTTATGGCTGAATTATATTCCATTATATGGGTAAACAAAAATCCATTCATCAATTGAAAAACATTTGGTTGTTTCCACTTTTTGGCTATTATGAATAATGCTGGCATGAACATTCATGTACAAGTTCTTATTTCAACATATATTTTGAATTCTCTTGGTATATGCCTAAGAGTGAATTGCCGGGTCACGTGGTATCTATGTTTAACATTTTGAGGAACTGCCAAACTGTTTTCCAAAGCAGCTGTGCCATTTTCCATTCTCACTAGCAATGTGTGACAATTTCAATTTCTCCACATCCTTGCCAACACTTGTTGTTGTCTATCTTTTTTATTATAGCCACCCCAGTGGCTGAGAAGGATGTGGTTTTGATTTGTATTTCTCTAATGACAAGGATATGGAGCATCTTTTTATGTGTTTATCATCCCCTCAAGTACTTCTTTTGAATTTAAGTTATTTCCATTTTCTTTTTTATTTTAGCATTTTTCAGTGGAATATAAATTTTGTTCTTCTTCTTGTGAAATCTTTTTTGCCTCAAGAACTCTGCAAGCATATCAAATGCTCATGAAATCTCCCTTATTACAGGTTGCATGGCCTCTCACGGTGCCAACCTGCTGACACTGTGAACCCTCAGGATTTAACTGAGTTTCCACTGGCAACTTTCCAGGAGATCTTCACATCACATTATTAGATAACAAGCTTTTATAAACCCCAAATTACAATGGTGATGATAATGCTTTACTAAAAAGCATTTAATTAATTTTGAAAAAGAATTTTTTGCAAAATTATATTTTCTTAACTTTTTACATCCCTATGAGGTAGACAAGAACCAAAAGAAGGCAATAGCTGTTTCAAAGGGTCCTCTGAGAAAGTGTTTGTAGAGATATGAAGAGATATGAATATCCAAAAATTCTAGTGTGTCTTGGAAAAAATATTTTTGAATACAACCAGTTGAATACAAGCAGTGTCTCCAGATGTCCAAGAAAATTACCAAGTTGTTTTTACATTATATGCCAGTCCTAGATGTAAATTGCATTGCTCATATGTGATGCTAATATTTTAGCAATCTTGAAATTAACATTTGCTATCAAATCTAGTTTAGACCAGAGATAAAGGAAAGAAAACATTTTGAAAATTCCATATGCCAATTTTTGCCCTGTACATTGAAATAATATTTATATTAGCCTCTAAAGATATGTAGTAGCATTCTTTGAAAAAAAAAAAGTGCCTGACAGATTACATATATAGCATAGCCCACCTCGGTTTACTAAATGTTTATTGCAGCCATAAGGCCTTTCTGGCTTTCAGACCTTACATGTTCCCATCTTACATTCAAATTTTATTTGATGACTTTTACCAACAGTAGTCTTTCTCAGTCTTACTATAGGTTTAATATATTTGGTCATAATGTTCACAATGATGAAATTCATCAGTTCCCTTATAAACTGGCTTTTTTATGGAAAGTGGTTTTTCTTTTTAAAAGAAACAAACTGCTTTGAATTTTTGTTTATCTAGTCAATCCACAAATACTGAGTGAGCACCTACTAGGCACCAGATCTGGGAAATACACTGGAAGTAAGATAGGCATGCTGTTTACTTTTGTAGAGCTCATAGCCTACCTGTGAACTCCAAAAACAATTACTTAACTGCAATTGTGATAAATAGTAAAAGTGAAAATTTTAAGATTATATGAGAGCACATAATAGAGGAGCTGACCCAATTTGTGGTTGTTGAAAAAGGCTTCCCTGAAGAAGTGACCCATAATTTGGGACCTGAACGGTGCCTAGGAGTTAGCCAGAACATGGGCCAGAGGGGACTAGCATGTGCACAGGAATTAAGGCAGACACGAGCTTGATGCTTTTGAGGACCTTAATGAAGGACAGTGTGACTGGCATGTTGGGAGCAAAGGTTACAGGATGAAGCAAATGGGGGAGGCAGCACATGATGGGCCTCTTAGTAGGGAGCTGTTGCAGGGGTTAAGGCTGTGGAGTAGTGTTTATTGGTAGCCCATAGATATTAACAAAGGCTAAATGACCCTTTGCTCCATTGTTTTCTTCTCTTGGTCAGGAATACGACTGGAGAAACTACCAGCCCAGCCAGATGAGTGAATCCGAGTTGCAGATGCTGACAAGCCTACGTCGGCAACAGAATGAAGAACTGGAGGATGCTGGGGCTTCCCATGGCCTGAGTGCATCCCAGGTTGACAACTGTAACGTCAGCATAAGTACCAGCAGTGATGACACAACCACCTGGAACTCCTGCCTGCCACCCGTGAGTCCTGGGCTTTGCATTTTCCCTTCCATTCCCTTAACTAGGAACAAGCTTCTTTCTAACAAAGCCCAGCCTTGTCTGGGAAAACTCGGGCCAAAATGAGAACACTCCCTACGAGAAATATTCAGAGACCATTCTGAAGTAGCATTTTAGAACTAGGGGCAGAAATTAGAAGATGACACTGTCTTTTCTTAAATTGTCTTATTTACTGTCAGAAAATACAAGTATGATGATGTATAAAACCATAGATTGAAAGAAAAAAGGAATAATTTTACTGTGGACTCTGAGTATCCCATTGTATCCCCCGTTCCAGCACAAGCCCTGTGGCACATAGAAGAGGCTCAACACTTGTTAAATACATATTTGTTAAATGAATGAACAAAGAGGAAAAGACCACAGATATACTAAGTATTGCTCGGATATGAAGTGGAAAAGAACTTTCTGTCGAAGTCACCAGATGTTTACTGGCTCCTCCCTATGTCTAAGGGGCCATGACGGGCGCTGTGGATGCTTCAGAGTCTCACATTCCCAAATGTTCACATAGTTAAAGCACTTTAAATATGGCCCGTCACCCTACCCTCACTGTGGCCTGGCAGAGGAGCTGGAGCACCTGCTTTTCAGGTGAAGAACTGATGCCAGGGTCCAAGTTTCCACACCTAGTCAGAGGTAAAACCCAGAGCAGAGCCCAGTGTTTTGTCTCAGTCCATTCTCCACATCACTGTCCTCAAGGATCTTGCGGCTTACTTGGAAAAACACAGCATAAACACCAACAGAACAGTCTAGTACAGCACAAGAAATGTCTTCGGGCAGAGTAATAAAATCATATGCAATAATAATGATAATTAGAGCTACTGTTTCTTTAAGTACTGAGAGCCATTTTAAAACCTCCATAGGCCCAAGGAATATTGACTTATAAGGCCACATTCAACATCATACAAGCATATTAAAGTACACTGTCATCCAACAATGAATATAACTTTTTTACTCTACAGTTTTTAAAAGAAATATAAAAATCGCATAACCTTGATACATTTTATATAAAACTATATAAAGATTGAGTTGAAGTGTATTTGAAAATGGATAAGCTATGTTTTAAATATTTAATTAAATAACTATTAATTTTGCAGTTCACCTTTTATATTTTAAAGCCAGTTTCTTCCAGGTCTCCAGCACCTTTGTAGTTTTTGGAAATCACAGAGGCTCTGGCACCTTATGCTGTCACATGTGCTATCTAACCTAACTTTTAGGGCCACTCTGTGTGGGAGGCACTGTTAGGCTCCCATTTCCAGGTGAGAAAATTGAGGCTCTTGAGTAAAGCGATGCAAACCCAGCTCGATCTGACTCCTGAGTCCAAGTTCCTAACTGCCGTGATATGCTGACTTCCTGATATGTGACTCAGTTGTCAAATAAATGCTACAGATATCCAGTGGAAGATGGGATTTCAGTGCTCTGGAGAGAACTTAAAAGTCTTCATGGAGGAAAAATTCAAATGACTTTAAGATGGGGGAGTGATATAAATTTTCCAGTAGTGTGCTTTATCCCTGCTTTGCCCACCCTCCAGGTTTCTCTTGCCTCAGTTGTGCTTTCATTAAACACAACTATCAAGCATACATAACATCTCATGCATCCTTGGTGCCAAAGAGTATCCACCCACCCAGAAAAATATCTGAGTTCCGGTTACTCTGGTTACAGAGCATCCTTGTAGTCAGAGCTAAGATCATAAGAGTCAGTTGCAGATTTTTACCAATGCAATTTGTGATAAAATCGGAACATTGCCTTTCTTATAAAATATTCTTCAGCAGTCATTTAAACTGCAAGTAAGAAAGAGAACAGTGGCCTCCTGATCGAGCTCATTCTGTCATGAAGTAGCTTGGAGACCAACATTACAAAGGGCAAGCTGAGGAATGATTATTTATGGACTGAAAAGGCTGAACTCTTGGTTGCCCTGGATACCATGTTGTCATCACCATCCTATTCTGGCAAGGACTGAAGTCTCCTGCATGATAACTACTCTGATCTAAAAGTATACAGCCCAAAATAACACCGTTGGTAATGAACTTAATAACCCTTCCATTTGACCAAATGAGAAATTGGAAAGTCTATTTTTTAGAGAGAAATATTGAAAATCCTACCTTTGGTATTCATAAGATATGTTTATTATTGCCTCAAATTCAGTCTATTCTAACACTGGAACAATCACCGAATGGAAAATTGTATTCCTTAATGAACTCTGCATCTTGCTACTCATATAGACTTTAAATAGAGCAATTTACAAGCACCCTTGTGCTCCTTCTGAGAGCTCATGCTGTTCTCTTTAGAAGTTATATGGGGACAGTGGAAAAAAAGAAATGAAAGAACTCATAACTTTATTTATCACAATGATATCCTACTCTCCTTGTATCTCAGTGAATGGCACCATCATCCAAACTGGCACTTGAGCAAGAAATTTGAAAGACATCTTCACTTCTCCCACTCCTTCATGCCCACTCTCCAACTGGTCTCCAGATCCTGAGAATCCTCTCTCCTTTTTACCTCTTAACCCTCTCTACCTAATTCCACTGGCTTGGCACTGTCTTTTTATTTTTTCTTCCCCCTTCATCCCATCACAGATTATGCACTTTATTTTTCATCTCAATTCCTTCAGCAGTCCCCTAACATCTCTATACCTTCCAGTGCAAGCACCATAGCCTGGTGGTTAGGGCCATTGGCTCTGAAGTCATATTGCCATGGTTCAAATCCAAGCTGCGACCTTATAAAACACTTGTCACTGCATCTCAGACATAGTAAGCATTTAATAAATAAAGGTTAGTTGTCATTATTATTTTCATCATTGTTTACATTAGTGATCCTTTTAAAGCCTAGATCTGATCTGCTCTCTTCCCTACATAAAGCCCTTTGGTGACTCCCATTGCCTCTTTAGTTTGGTTTATGAGGGTCCCTATGATGTGAGAGCTGCCTCCCTCCAGCCTTGTCTCTCTCTGCTCCCCACCTCTCCCTCCATGTTTAATCTCAGTTATAATTCCCTAAATGCACGTGTCCCTGGACCATGCACCTTGGCTATCCTCAAGACTTAGCTGCAGAGCCAGAGTAGCCCTTCTCGGGCCTCAGTGTGAAGGACACACCTTATTTCTGCCACTAGAGCCAGGAATATCTCCAGAAGAACTCTCACCACAAGCTTGCTCATCCGTCTCACAGCAATTCATTCCACAAGTAATTTTTGAGTGGACAGTATGCTGTGAACTAGGCTGAGTGCTGGGGATACAACTAAGGTTTTACCCAGTGATGAATATTCAGTTTTAGCGGGAAGCAGAGAAGTAAGCAGCTCACAGTACTCAGGGTGGCCTCTGAGAACAGAATAAGGAGTTACGGGAACACATGAGCGGGTGCAGTTCTGCCTGTGGGCTTCGGGGATGCTTTCACAAAGAAGGCAACAGTTAAGCCAGAGTTCAAGAATGAGTTCAAGTTTGCCTTTTAGACAAGAGCAGAAAGGAATTCCAAGTTCTGAAAAGGAGCAGAATCAAGTCTGTGGAGGGAAGGGGAGAGTCCCTCCTTTAGCAAGATAACATCCGCTTAGTGCCTTTGTTTCTCTATTGGCTTGAATAGGACTTGAAATGAGTTGTGCTTGTCTCACCACCGCTCCCCACCCCCAGCCAGCACAGGCACAGGAGAACCACTCTGTACTCTAGCCACACTGCGGCCTGCCCACCGCTGGCTGAGCCATGTCCTCTGTTCACATCATGCCACCGCTCATCTCTTTCCTCTGCCTGGCATGCTCCTCCATCCCTCTTCTCTACCTAGAACATGGCTATTTGGTTTTGGTTTGTTTGTTTTGGGCTCATTTTTTTTTATTAAAGACTTTATTTTTTTACAGCAGTTTTATGTTCACAGCAAAATTTGGAGAAAGGTACAGAGAGTTCCCATCTACCCGCTCCCCCCACACATGCACAGCCTCCCATTATCAACATGCCCCACCAGAGTGGTACATCTCTTACATTAATAAACCTCCGTTGACACATCATTATCACTCAAAGTCCATAGTTCACATTAGGGGTCACTCTTGGCATACATTCTAAGGGTTTGGACAAATGTATAATGACACGTATCCACCGTTATGGTATCGTCCAGAGTGGTTTCACTGAGATAGAAACCCTCTGTGCACTGCCTACTTACCCCTCGTGCTACTTGATTTTAAAGGCCCCACTCACTTGTCACTGCTTCATGAAACCCACCCTGCACAGAATTCTTTGCTTCCTTCTCTGCATTCTCCTTACTTCAGGCTCAATGATAGCACTTGATATCGAATAACAGTGGGGCTACCAATATCCCACAGGCCTGGTTGTGAGCTCCTTGAAGGCAGAACCCTGCCCTAGTCTTTTGGAACATTCCACGTTGAGCACAAAGGCTGGCATGAGGCATCAAGGCTGATTGTCCCTCATTGGTTGGTTGAATGAATCAATCAATAATATTTTAAAAGTCATTTTTTTACTCTAAAATAAGGCAATTTTTACCGACATTCCAAAATAAACATCAGCTTTGCTTTGCTTAAATAAATCCTGAGTGATATATTTTATATGCAAGATTTGATAAGTGGATATTAAGTATACAACCAAAGGAAAAATCTCCTTCTGAGCAAGGCCTGATTACCAATAGTAAGAAAAAGTGCTTTAGTCAGATTGCATTCAGTTTAGCATCTTTGCCTGATGACTTCACACACATTGCAGTCTGAAATGAGAAAACCCACTCAGAGTAAAATGAAGACTCTTTAGCAAAATCTATTGTGTTTACCACAAGCTTTGATTCCTCAGCTTTCCTCAGTATCTGTACAGTTCAGAGTAATATGTACTGTTTAAAAGGTGTTTAGATATAATAAATTAGTCATTTAAAAGTGTAATTAAATGTAACCATATTTCTCATAGCAAATTGGCTTTTGTAGGCATCTCTTGCTAAATAAATCAAGCCTACTGAGAAATCCATTGGCCTTTGACAGACAGATTTTTCAA